GGCTGGGCTGGGCTGGCTGGTTTGGGTTTGGTTCAGCATGAAGAAGGAAGCAGGAATGAACAAAGGTTCAAGAACGATAGAACTATAGAATACGAACAAACCGTAAGCCCAAAACGACCAAAGAAGTAGGAATCGAAGATCACCCGTGCCTAATACGACTGGACCCGAACACCCGACATCAGTTCAGGAATAGTGTTGATATTGTTTGTGGTTTCTGCGGCTGAGGACTGTGTTCCAATTATGGACACTTCCTGACTGCTACATTTGGGTTAGTATAGCAGAGTATCGTATAGAAACATAGCTACAGTATAGTACAGTACAAGGTGGTCCCAGTTAGACCATGCCGTCCCACATTTAGTTAAACCCTTTTTTGAACCAAGGCTCTGATCATCAGCTGGGAAGCCNNCGGCCACACACATGCTCCGCACAACGTGCAGCGACTGAACTCTGGAAGTTGAAGTGCCCTAAACCCTAAACCCTGTAAACCCTAAACCCTAAGCCCTAAACCCAAAGCCCTAAACCCTAAGCCCCCATACCGTTCGGAGGATCATTTCAGCCAAAGCCAGGCAGGAGATCGAAAATTTGGTCGCTGAGGCCTTGGAGATCGGAGCCCCGACGGACCGAGCAAATCCTTTAAGGATGCACCGAAATCGACCGGCCTGGTGTGTTAACCCTGTAGCTCCATCTATATCTGTATCAGTTTAAATCCATACTTGCTTCTTCTATCTATCTGTCTATCTATCTATCTAGCTATCTAGCTATCTAGCTATCTAGCTATCTAGCTATCTATCTATCTATTTATCTATGCTGTATGGAACTGGAGCGTCTCACACCCCTCGAGTGCCATTTAGCCGGCGGGCACCGACCCTCTAAAGGTCCATAATAAGGGTTGATAGAACTCATAATCGTGTTGAACATCATGTCCTTGTGCTCTGTTACAACATTCGCGTGTTGGCGAAGCCTGTCTGCGAAAAATTTAGTGGAATCAATGTTTGAGAGATTACCCTGTGCACCTGTCCTCGTGGTATAGGCTGGCAACACGAACCTCCTCATCGACAACTGCACTGCCGGAATGCGCCATACCAAGAGGCTCACCACTAACCGACCAGTAATCCCGTGACTCATAACGCACTCGGCTCACTCGACGGGCTACTGACTGTTAACTATCGATATTGATATTGGCATGAGGACAGATGCACGCAGGGTCTGCGCTGACTCCACGCAAAACTCAATCTTCGAACTCGACACTGTACTCCGGATACACATGTCCCGTCTCCAAGACGATATACTCTCTGAGGCCTGAACGTTCTGGATTCGCCAATACGCAGTGCTTGCCCAGTTTTGCAGCTTCGCTCGTCGCATCCGGATGCGACTTCTCCTCGGTGTAGTGCATGTGGCCACAGACTGCCCGACAGAGTAAAACATATTTCACGTTGCCACTTGAAGTGCAATAGCTGAGGCTTTTGCTCAAGTCCTCTGCGAGGTAAACCCCATGGCCAAAACGACGACCATGTGTGCCGCTCGTCTTGACCTCGAAGCCTATTTCACTGATGGCGTCCGCTGCCTGCTGCGAGGTGCCATGCCAGAGAAGTGTCTCGTTCAATCCTGGCGCCATATTCTCTACGGAGATGGCCTCGTCGCCGTGGAACTCTGATAAGATCGTCGCTGTCAGCGCATGGCCAGATTCCGGATTCCCGTCCAGCTCGTTTGGAGGTGCACACTTGAGATCTCCATTGGCCTGGAGCTGTGCGCCTAAAGATCGCTTCCTGTCGATGTAGCGACACCAAAGGAATGAGTCCTCGATGCGCCTGGCACGGAGCACCTTAGGAGCTGCTGCGTCTCCCCCACATGAACCATTGGCCAAGCGTTGAATGAGCTCGCGGATCGTTGGCTTCACCATCCAATGTTCTCGGAAGCACTCTGTGTACGGATTGCGGCCGACATTCCTCCAATACAGCGGCAGCTCCAGCAAGAAGGGCACATCCTTCGGTGGCAGCTGGGGTGTCTCACCCCTGTAAAGGCGCTCGTAGAGGATCAAGTATTCTGGATACACCTGGTCGCGATCGTACACGACCATCTCTCGATAAGTGTTCACGGCTTTTGCACGGTCGCCGATTGTACTGTCAACCTCGCCATTGGTGTACTTGTCAATGGCAGACGACTCGCGATCCAAGGTGTAGTAGAAGTTGCCCAGGCAGACGCGGCACAAGAGCAAGCCCCTCACGCCGTCGTAGTGACCACCTGGCTCATCCGTGGCATACTCGTCGGCCTTGGTGCAGCTCTCCGAGAAGTAGAAGCCCTTCCCATACATCGTGCCAGCGCCCGAGCCGGCGAAATTGAGGCTGAAATCCGCTTTCGCAATCGCCAGACCGGCTCGAACTTGCGTTCCGTGCCAGAGGTAAACCTCGTTGATGCCGTCATCGACATCGCTGAGAACTTCAGTCAACCCATTGGAGGCTTCCATGGCGGCGCGTGTGAAAATCTCAGGGTCCGGAGCTTCACAAGACGAACGCGACCTTTTGATCTGGTCCCGTCTATCCATGTAGCGAGAGAACATTGCAGAGTCTTCCACGCGGATGACACGCTTGATCTGGTAACCTGTACTGTAGGTAGGCCAGGATCACCACCAGGCTGCACACAGGGGCATCCACCCTTGGTCTTGTCGTGCTTGGCCGTCGGGCATAAACGATCTTGCGTCGTTATCTTGCGGTACGTTTGGTTAACCTGCTCCTGAAAGAATTTCATGCGCTCGTGCTTAACATACATAAGCTCGTCGAAGCCCAAGTCATCCCTGACGTTGACTTCATCGTTTCCGCTCTCCCGGCATCCAGTCCAGTACTTTGGAAGGCTGTTCAGCGCCATCTCGTTCAGCGGAACCACCAGCTCCTTACTGTCCGAGTGCAATGTCGCTTTCCCACCGATGACCACGGCCAAAGCTCCACCTGCCAAGTCCGGCTGTGTCTTCGCGGCCTGACGGAAACACATCTTCCACACGATCAACGATGATAAGAGCAGGATCGGGACACTGCCAATGCCCATCAAAATTGGCACAAGCCTGCCGTTGTCCTGCCCAGAGGATGCTGTAGGTGAAGGTGTCACTGTGGAAGTCTTGCAAACGATCATCATCATCATCATGTCCGTGCTACCTTGTACTGTATGGTACCAGTAGTTTACGTAAAAATATCCAGTCACCAACCACCTATAGCACCCGTTCGGACGATTCTGCAGTGGCTCTGCGTATTCTGCGTACACAGACGATCTCGAGAAACCAAGAGCTGCTGCAGCTTCTCTGCATTCGGATTCTGAGAGAACCGGCGCTGCGTCTGCAGGACAGGACGTCGCGCCCTCTGTCTGGAGAAAAAACCACCCTGGCGGGCCTGAGGATGTGGTCGTAGTCGTCGTAGTCGGGCCGGGAGATGTCGTGGTCAACGTAGTCGTCGTGGTGGTTTCGGTGGTTTCGGCACCAACGTCGACCTTGCAAATAATCCTTGTATCGTTTCGTATCTCGCCTTCCCACGTCGCTGCTCCATTATAGTTGAGATAAACACCATTAACTGCCGCCCACTGATAGCAACCTCTTGGAAAATATCGTTCGTTTACAATGCCGCCATAACCTGAACCCAGAGCCTCTGCCGCTGCTCTGCACCCGGAGAATGAGAAGATCCGTGTTGAGTTTGCGGAACAGTTTGCCCAGCCCCACTGACTGGTGTCGAATTCCGCTGAGGTCGTCTCGGCCAGGAGCACAAAGGCACCGGCTGTTCGTGCCAGAGAAAAACGCTGACTCCTCAAAGTGCGGCGCCTCGAGTGATGCATCGGTTCACTTGGCTCGAAACTTCTTTCTCAACGAACTCTGAGCCCAAAAATGTGGCGGAAGGAACGGAGGCTTTTGGCGCTCGAGAGAGCACTACCTTAAAATCCAAAACACAATTTCGACACCCGAATTATAGGGTAGTCGGCTCTTGGGAAGCAGAGTGTGACAGCTGCCAACGACGCAACTGACCGACCTCAGTCGCACCGTCGGGATAGATGGTGATGGTGACCTCGAAGATCGCAGTCTTCATAGTTTAGAGCTTCAGGATCGAGGAGCTTAGGGCTAGGGATTAGGGTGTCCGGGTTTAGGACTTTCGGGTTGAAGCTGTGAAGGTGTTTTGGAGTTTAGGGTTTAGGGTTTAGGGTTTAGGGTTTAGGGCCTAGGGTTTAGGGCTTAGGGTTAAGGGTTTACCCTGAGGTTATGGGGTTGAAGGTTCAGGGTCTGCGCTGAGACAGACGGTTTCCCTAAAGCCGCAATCTCAGTCGAAATGGTGCTTCCCTCAACCAGGCACCAGGAAAGCCCGAAAACGCCCTTTTGAGAAATGCAGGCCTTCTTCCCTGCGGCAGCATAAGTGCCTGCCAAAACTGCAGGAAGGGAGCCACACTATGGTTGATGGACAAAAGTCTGCATGACCCAAAATTAGTATAGTATAGTACCATACATCCCATAGTTTAAGTATATAAAATCATGCAGGATTTTGTCCATCAACCATATGGTGGTTTAGGAACTGCCAAGCACACCGCTGATTGCACGTTCGGTATGAATACTACGATGATAGCTATGGCGATGTCCTAGCAAGCAACGCCAAGGAAAAAGAGACCAAGAAGAAAGGAACACCCTAAGCCGCAACTAAAAAACAGTCTACGTAAAGCCTCACAAACCCCAAGCCCCAAAGGCATTCCCATTGAGGCGGACAACCCCGAGGCCCGCGAGCGGCCTGATTCGAGGTCGTGCCAGACACTCACGTGACTGCTGATATTGTCAGTCTAGGACATGTTTACACAACAAAACAGTAAGGCCCATAATAAGGACAGTACCGATTGTTGCTAACTTCCTTCCCAGCCTATTACTATGATGTTGTACCGTTGCTGCTGTTTGCACAACCTGTGCCTTAAACAGTAAACCCTAAACTGCGACACCGTAAACCCTAAACCCTAAAAACCTTGAGCCCTAACCCTACGCCTGGTGCCCGCCTGTCACGGTCATCCCGGGTCTCCACTTGGCATGGACGTTGCCGAAGTGGTCACGAAAGGTCCGGAAAGCCCTTCCACGGTCATACTCCTTGGGCTTAGGACTTTTAGGGTTCACGGTTTAAGGTTTAGGGCTTCGGCTTGGACATAGGGTTGCTTGAGCGGATTCTGTTGAAGGGTTACTACACTGGTTTAGCACAGGGGCCTGAATAATTAGCACAGGATTTTGGAAGAAGTTCTAGTCTAAATATCATCATTTTTTTTTGAGTTTTCAGTTTCAGGCATCTTTGTAATGGGGTCTAGGGTTCAGGGGTCAGGATTCTTGGGCGTAACCCCGAAGTAAGGGTCAATGAGAGTGCTACGGTAGTGCCATCTCTTATAGAACCCTTTCTAGGATCCCTTTCAGGGAACCCGACTCGAAGGCCAGAGGCCGCTGTTTCCGGCTTCTCAGTGCCGAGTCGCTTCGACGTCCGGGGCGCCCTGCAGCGGAACGGCAAAGCTCTGAGCGCTTTCTTAGAGGTGTAAGGGCTTTGAGGGTTTAGGGTTTAGGGGTTTTAGGGGTTTTAGTTTAGGGCTTTTAGGGCTTTTAGGGCTTTTAGGGCTTTTAGGGGTTTTAGGGGTTTTAGGGGTTTAGGGCTTTTAGGGCGTTTAGGGCTTTTAGGGTCGAGGGGTTTAGGGGTTTAGGGTTCGGTTTTTACGTATGAGGTTGTGGGTCTATTTCGGGTTTAGGGTTGATTAGAGTTAGGGTTTCGGGTTTAGGGTCGAGGGTTTCAGGTCGAGAGTCAGGTTCAGCATTGAATGTGGAAGGTTTGCATTGAGGGTTACGGTTATGTTGGGGCCTTAATAATTAGAATAAGGTTTTGGGGTATATTATACCAATATATTGATAATAAGGAGCCCCCAAAATAGTATAGGTAATTATTAAGGTACTACTACTACTACTACTACTACTACTACCACTACTACTACAGCCTTTGTTCTCGAACCCCAAACCCCGAACCTTGCGGCGCATTGCGGCCCCGCAGCCCGGAGCTCCAAACTCTCAGCCCTAAGCGGACTTCTGTTTCATCTGTAAATGGGAGTTTCAGCAAAAAGGTGACCCCCTAAACCCTAAACTCAAACTCTGTTCAGCTGTAAATGGGCGTTTCAGCAAAAAGGCGACCAACCTATAGAGGCTCAATGTCCTACCCCGAAACGGCTCAGGTTTACCTTACGGGAAATCCGAGGACTGCTGTACTTGACACCGGAAGTTGTCACCGTCCCTCATGACCCCCAGGCCCTAGACCCGAACGTAGGGGCCTTAATACTTAATAGGGTTTTGGTGTATACTCTAGTATATTTATAATGAGGAACCCCCCCAAAAATAGTATAGGTAGTTATTCTCGCCGCTAAACGGCCCCTTGAATAAACCGGAAACGCAAACCCCCTTTAGCGGTGGCCTCCCAGGTGCCCCCGGAGCCACCCGAAGAGAGCGCCTGCAGAGGGCGGGATTCATGGGTTTCCGTACTGTTTAGGGTTTAGGGTTTAGGGCTTAGGGTTTAGGGTTTAGGGTTTAGGGTTTAGGGCTTAGGGTTTAGGGCTTAGGGCTAAGGGTTTAGGGCTTAGGGTTTAGGGTGCGGATTCATGGGTTTCCATACTGGTCATAGGAATTTACTTGGGTGTGATAAAGGTCTGCAATCTGCAAATTATGGGTTTAGCAGTTCTTGCTACTAGAGGCTGCTTTTGTAGGGCTCCCCCAAAACAAGACCTGAGCCCAGCGTGCAAGGGTTAGTTAGGACTTAAATACTAAACATCTTCGGGAAAACGTACTTTCCCCCCTAACACATTGAGGCCACAAAATAGTGTTGCCACAAAAAATCCTACAGCCTAAACCTTAAACCCATCGTTTCAGGGCTCCGTGTTTAGATGCAGGTCTCAAAGAGGAACCTTCTGCTGAGGACAGCTTGGGCTGGAAGGCCCTTGGGGGCACAGCCTTTGCCGACAAAGAAGCGGTGATAGGACTTGAATCTGTAGCCCAGAGACTCCAAAACACCACTAGCTCAGGAAGATTCCTGAAGTGACATTCTTAACAAGGGGCGCTTAATAGTGATGTTGGAGTCTTCGGGAACCTCGCCGAGAATCTGAAACTCCGAAATACTCCGAATGCACCCTCGGGGGTCCTCGTAGCAACGCGACAGCTCTCGAAACCGCTCCTAGCAGGGAAGTGTGCGCGGAAACACAGGATTTCAGCCGCAGGTGATGGGACATCTATGCCTATGATCGCCCGTCCCGTCTCTGCAACAGTTCAAGCCTGCGCCGTGCGTCCAGAATCTCAACCTGAAGCCGTCAAGCCCTGGGCTCTGCCCCGAAACCCAAAGGCCCACCACCCCAAAACCCTAAACCTTAAACCCTAAACCCCAAACCCTAAACCCTAAACCCAAAGGCCCAACACCCTAAACCTCTCCTCCGCATCTGGGGCGTCATTCCTGGGGCGGGCTCCGTAGATTCCCCAGGGTGTTTAGGGGTCCGCCGGTTGAACCCCGAATCTCTGACCATGACCCCAGTGATCACTCTGAGCCCCCGCCCTAACCCCGAAAGCCCAAAGCCCTGAACCCCCTGAACCTAATAATCTGGAGCCCTCACCCCTAAACCCTAAGCCCTGAACCCAAGCCCTTTGCCCAAGACCCTAAAACCCCAATACGCTGGAACCCCCAAGCGGCCGAGCTTCTTGTCAGGATGCCATTTCAGGGCCTGCTGCCGATAGGCCTGAGGCAAGCAGGGGGTCGAAACTAGAGAGCTTAAAAAGACAGACAGACAGGCAGGCAGACAGACAGACAGACAGACCGCCAGCTAGACAGATAGACAGACACATAGACAGACAGATGCACAGACAGACAAACAGAACAGACAGGACCCACAGGACGGACAGGACAGACAGGACAGACAAAACAGAGATGACAGACAGGACAGACCCTAGACCCTGACAGACCCTACGTCTTCCATTCAACCCTAAACCCTAAACCCTAAACTCTAAATCCTAAACCGAATCCAAAGTCCCG